ACAATGCATAAATTATATAAAATATGTCTTCATGGAACAATTTGTAATTGCTGGTAAAAACTGTATATTAATAAACAATTGAAATGTCCTTGGTACATTATAGTGTGTTGAAAAACCATTTATTAATACTTGTCTACTGCTTATAAATGGTACGACTTAAAGCAACTGTTGAACAGTTAAAAAAAGAAGCTAAAGAAGTTCAATGTTTGACTCTCGCTGATCTGCTTGTCTCAGGTCTCCGGAGAGGGCTGCAGCGATGGAAGTCAGGACGTGGTCTGCCAGGTGACCTTTCACTCGAGCAAAGGGCGCCCGCAGTGTGCTTATGTATTTGTGAGTGTGTGTTTTGTAACAGAACGCGTCCAGCACACAGGGAGTGCATTAATGCTCGTACTCCCCAGGCCATATCTCTCTCTCTCTCTTTTTTGACCGTAACTCTACACCGTGCACCCCCCTGACCCCCTCCTCCTCCTCACTCCCCAAACCCCCTACTGTTTTATCCTGTTTTATGGGACACACCTGATACACTTAAAATGCATAATGGCTGAGCAGAGGCTGAAACCAATGTGCTCGTCAACCTTCAGAGTGTCGTACAATTAAATAGAAACCCCAAAGTGAAGAGATTAAAATGTCTTGGGAAAACTGCAAAGTAAGCATTTCCAATGGTATGATTTTGTCAAAAGCTTATTTATTTATTTACTTATTTATTATTGATTATTTTTGATTCGTCAGGCTAATCAGGCCAAATGTGAAATTCTGGAATATACTAATTCAAAATTTTGAAAACCACCATTAACAGAAAACACTAATATCTTTACCTAACCTTCCCAACCTGTGTTTTAAATTTTCAAATCAGCATTTAGATTGTCTTCAATGTTTACGTTTTAGTCCCAGGTTTTAGTGCCTTTTAGAGCGAGGGCTTAAGTAAAATAAACCGCCATCATACTGATGAACTATTCTTCTGTCTGTCTGGGTGTTCTGTGTGCATGTGCTTGATTTTATCTATTTATCTATGCCTGAGAGCACTGACCCTGTGCTGCCTGTCAGCATTACTGTATCAGGAACAGATACACAGTTCGCCACCTGTGAACCATTTCCCTCCCTCAGCTCAGGTACTGTTCACTATATGTGGGTTTGTTTCACTGAAGCTATTTTAGTGATTTTAATATGTAATACACATTTGTAAAGATGTTATGATCTGTGTTATGAACACAACTAAACATATAATGTGTATTTTGTTTCATAAACTTATTTTGGTAAAACGATCTAAGGTAGAGGGAGGATTTTGTGTATTTTGGTACTTTTCCTTTTAGAGCAAGATGTTTACTGCAGCTTCACTATCCACTTATGGTTTTCAAATTATCAAAGAGGAATTTATTCACATTCCACAGGACAGATTCATCTGTTGCTGGTGGGAAGTGTGCTGTTACCTGCAGCCAGAGGAGAGGGAAGAGTTTTTCTTTTCACTAACTGTCAATTGAGGTTCATGTACAGTTCAGTTCAGATACAGTAAAAGTGAATATAATAAACACATTATATGGAAGGGAGAGGTGACTGCAAGATAAAATAGTAAAAGTCCAGGGCTTAGTAAACTAAAAAAACATAATGCAGGTTTAAATAAAGTGGTACCTCGTTGCTGTGGAAGCCTCCAGTGAAAAGTGAGCGTATAATAATAGTGATGGTGCAACCGGTTGATATTCCTCTCTGTCGTCTGACTCAAACAGTTTAAACTTTGCAGTCGCACTACATCAGTTTTGTAAATCCCAGCTGTCTTACTCCCTTGTTAGTGCAACCACCAACCTCTAGGCAACAAGTGGCATGAATCGTGAACAGAAATATCTGTTGTGTACTGTACCGTCATCCCGACAGCTCAACCTTAAATTTATGACAATTTACTGGGACAGAGATGGGATCAGAGCTCTGCTGCACATCTCGTCTGTAAAATTATTCGGATCATCTTAAGACCAGTGAACTTCATCTTCACAATCGCACAGTGGTTTGTCAAACCATCCATGACCCAGAGGGACGGAGTCTAGAAGCCTCTCTGTTAGAACAGTGAATCTCTTCCAGCTCTGAGGCTGCTGCTATAAAGGTTTGACCCCTGACCTCCCTGAAGGGTTTCTAAGTGAAAAGAGAATTTCCCCACTGGGACCAATATTGTGTCACATTATAACTATCATCACTGTTCCTGTCATTTCTACGGAGTGCGTTGCGTTAACATCACTTAGCAAAAAGACCCAGGTTAATGGGTTAATGAATATCTGATGTTCATCATATACAGTTCAAATCTCCAATTTAGGTGATTTGAGTGCATTCAATAAGCTGAAGGATGGCATGTGCTTCCACTGAGATGAGACCATTTTTCAAACTCAGAAGACTTCTTCAAATAATTTCGGGTAATGCAAGAAAATGCATTGTGATTCGCATTAAAATTATGTTTTTTTTCTGACCTTTAAAAAAAAAGATATTCTGAGATAAAAGGTTTGCTGTAATCGCTTTATCAATCATTCCTGCAGTTTCATTATCACGTGCCTATCGACAAGGGCTCACTGAATTAAAAAAATAAGTCAATTGATTAAAATCCTCTCTGCTCTTATTGTTCTAAAGGAGCAGGTATCCTAGATTTCAAAGTAAACACGCCCTTATAAAGCCGAGCATATAGGCTACCAATTATACTTCAATATTATTGTATGTTAATGTGAGTTTGTGTTAATTGAGTGAATATCCAAACACAATAATTAACATCAAATTACAATACAAAGTAGCTTCATGTCTTCTGTGTTGTTTTGCTTACTTTCTTTAAACTTCTTTGCTTATTTTCTTGCCTTATTATAAAATTGACCAAACGGCTCTCAAATCCAGACCCAACAAATCCGAATTATTAACGTAAGATAACCACAAAAAAGAAAACTGTTGTGACTTCAAGGTCCGTAATTTAAATTATATTAGCTCAAATAAATTTAAGCTGAAATAAAATAGCATCGGCCTGACCTAGGGCCAAACAAAGATATAGTATATTTCGCTGAAATTGTATTCGATAAAAATGGAAAAATGGAATATATGAAGATCAGTTCGAAGATGCAAATAAAACAGATTAGTGAACCAAACGTAAAACAATCATGTTGCAATCTGCAGGATACATTTTGTTTAACATTAAATCCTCCCCATTAATGAATGCATCAATGAAATAACAATCAAAACTCTCTTCACTAACGTTGCATGAAAAACGTGCGTGTAAAATGCATTTGGTGCTAATGGTTGGTCGGTGATGTAATTATGAAGACAATAACAACTCACTAATTTGCTCAGTCGTGGAACAAAAACAGAGCTCGGGTCAGAACAACTCTTTAAACCTTAATGTTCGATAGAAGTGAATGGATGTGATCTTTGCGAGGCCAGGACTCAACATTCTCTGCGAGAATTCTCTGGGCAAAGTGGCATTAACTTCTTTTCTACACGATTGTTTGCAGACAGTTGAACACTTGACGTTTAATCTCCGCAACATCGTCACCCCGCGGTGAGAGATTAAGAAGCCTGCGGATGAATTTGGGCGAGAAACACGACTAGTTCACACCTGTCCGGCTGTATATCCTGATTCCTCTCCTGCCTTGTTCTCTCCTTCATTTGGCCAGAATCCCGCCAGCGTTCATAACCAGGGCGCCTTGTTAAAATTTTTATTCAACGATGGCGGATTTTCATAACATCTTCTGCCCAAAAACATGTTTAATAGCCCCCCCCTCCGTGGGCACACATGGCGCACACACACACAATGCCAGTTCAAGTTCACATCTCGGACCTTATTGGAAACAAGCAAGAGTGAAAGTAGGAGCCCAAATTCACAACTCTTTGTGGGGTTACAGAGTTGGTTTGGTGAGAGACCAACTATTCGGTGTTATGTCTCCTCGCGAGCCGCTAAAGGCTTGTTTTGAGTGGACCCACATGCACTCCAGTCCTCCTTAATTACAAAGTGTGAGCTTTGAGCTGCGTGTGTAATTGACCAGAAGCTGTGCCCAACAAGGTGCGACCGATCCGTCACCTTCACAGACAGGAGGGAGACAGTTCACACTCTTTGTGTACACTTTTCATATTTACACTCACATTAGAGCCGCCCGGGCCTGCAAGATAATTCATTACTGGATCATAATGTTCCATTTGCTGTTGTTTTACGCATTAAACAAAATAGTTCTCCACCCATTCACATGTCAGCCTGACAGCCAATCGACACCCAGTGAACTATGAGACACGCTGACAAGTCCACATCAGTGTGATTTATGGTTTATAATTATGCACTATTTTCCCAAATCAATCCGACAATACCACACATGAGCTGTGAGATGAATAATGCTACAAGATGAAGACAAGGCACTAAAATATGCCAATACTGTTATTATTATAATAATAAGAGTAAAAAAAATACAATAAAATGCAACCGAGCGCAGTAGCACCTGAACCTGTACGAGGGGAAATATTGAAGCTACTAGTGAAAGTATGAAAGGCAGAAAAGATGTTGTTTTAGGTTTATTCCCGGGCAGCAGACTTGTGGAGGGGAAGACGGGGGCTGGAGGTGTTGCACGGCCGAAGCTGTTCAAACAAAGTGTCTCCTTTCAACGCCCGTTTCCAGCTCTGTGTTTTCTTTTTTTACTCCACCACGGTACTTTTGTTCTCCGCAGCGGAGCGCGGAAAGATAAGGTGTCGTCACTTGAACATCAAGGTTCCCGGTTGGCGAAGCACGTTTACATTTCGCCCAGCTCTGCCCATAATGGCCACATGCCACAGTCTCTTGACTCGTGTTGTTTTTACAAAGCACTAGATTAAGTCTCTCTCTCTCGCTCTCTTGTTTTGTCATTTTAACATCAGTCATGATGACTTACATGAACTTTGACCTTAAATTGGCGAACATCACTTAAAGTTTAGAGTTATGTAAAGAGGAAAATAGTATAGCCTTTTAAATAATTAATATAATTATATTATAATGAAATTATAATTTTATAGTATTTAATTGGTCTATTTAACGAGAAACACAATAGCTGAATTATTGCGTTTCTGGTTTTTATTTTGTTTATTGTAATGGGCGTTTCTTTTAAAAATCTTTTTTAGACCCAGTTCTTGAATTTCTATTTTAACTGCAAAAGCAAAGGACACAAACCTGGAAATTAATTTTAGGGAGAAACGACTTCCACTGCAGCATTTATGATGAGATGGAAGATAATCCCGGGATATATCGACAGTGCATGCGTCAGACAGCCCACGCATATAAAGGACAATATCCCCTTTCTTAGAGCAGGCATACGTGTCAAAGGCTAAGAGCTCTTGATTTTTGGGCAACTCTATCTAATTATACATTTCCCCAACGTTATTAAGGAACTGGTGGTTCAGCACACACTCAAAAGGCCAGAGGTAATAGTGAAGCATGCGAACCAGTTTTAAACCCACTGGCCGTTTAGATGCAAAGTTAAAGTTTGTGTCTGTAATAAATGTCCATTTCTTCTATCAAAGTCATATTCGCGAAAATACAATTAGATCCAAACATTAAAATGAAAAGTGCAAAGAAGTAATTGAGTAATTATTTGAAAATGCATTCCATGTGACTGTGTAAATATTTATGTTACAGCTGTTCTGGGAATATTTATATATATTTAAAAAAAAAAATGTAAATGTCACTCAGCTTGAATGATTTGAAAATAAATAACGAGGTGACCAGTAAGAGACAAACCATATCAACAGATTGGTTTTCTGCAACAACAAAAAAACAATTATCAAGAGTCATTCAGAATCAAAGAAATCCTCAATATTCAATCCATGGATTGTTTTTCTTTTATTGTAAAGAGTATATGAAACTATAGGTGAATCGTTTTATGTTTCATCATGTATCGCAAAGTTTACATGCAGTCTCTTTCCAAATGAAAATAATAATAATAGTATCAAGAGATTAAGAGATTTCACCTTATCACGGCTCTTATAAAACACTTGAGAATATCATGCCCCCCCCCCTTCAGACAAACAACTGCGTATGGCTCTCTTGGAAAACCCAGTAATGTAAACAAAAAGGCGATGGGGTACCTTCAACACGGTGCCTTCAGAGTCTGCTGATATATCGAAACCCCTAAAATAACAACGGTAATAGTAACAAGAATTAAGACATTTTATTGTTTTCAACAATATAGCATGTTACGTTATTACATTCCGGTAAAATACTTTTTTTCCTTTTCTTTTTTTCTTTTTTTTTTACCTAAAACGATCTATCCCGCCTCACCTTTTGTCTGCATCAGCACTGCAAACATGATCCATCTTAACAAGTCATAATCTCTATTAGTCTTTTGAATTACATTTCCCTTAAGCAAAGAGAAAATACTTCAACAAATGGCTGTTTTAATTACATTGCTTAAGTGCTCTGTCTTGAAACTTGTTTCTAGACGGTGAAACAAGAGGGAGATTCATTTGGGGATAAGTGCACCCAATGGCAGATTTCTCCCACTTGTTTAAAACGACTGGTTGAATATGCGACTATACATGATTTGTTACGGTGGCTGTCTTCGCAGTGTTCCAGTCTGTCTGCCTTCCACCTTGCCGCGAGTGCTGGAAGCTTGCCTCACGCCACCTCGTAAATTACTTCTCCCAAAAAAGAAAAAGCTGTGCTCTCTGTGCCGTGTTTAAGAGCCAAGGTCCACTAGATTAGAAGACATAGGGTTCAGTATGGTGTCGTGGTGCAATGAGTGGTGATGGTGCACCGAGTCTACACCGCTGGGTACCGGGATGGCGCTGGGTCCCTGCGGGAGCGCGAGGCCGTGCAGGGACTGTAAACCGGTGTTTGAGCCCAGCAGCAGAACCGGGCTCGGAGACATGTGATCCGGTGTCCCCGAAGGTGTTTTATCGTCGTCCGAGCTCCCCAATAGAGATTTATTTCCATTCATGGAAGAAGTCAATGGGTTGTGACTATTGCCGTTGGAGTTCTCGTTGTTTTCCCTGCCAACAAAAAACAAAATCACATCATTGTGGGGCCAGAGAGGAACTCTTGCAACATATCAGTCTGTCTGGAAAAAAGATCTGGAAGACATAATCAAGTTGGGACACATTTTAAAACTAGCTACAGAGATACAAACTACAGGACTAAATATGCAAATTAAATATTTGTAAATAAATATTCTATATTTATGCATTTAAAATATTCTATAACAAACACACATAGGCCTACACACACAACAACACACTAAGTAAAAATAGTGTAGTCCATGCTACTGTGTGTAGCCTACTGGGTATTAATAAGGTTAAGCCATATTTACACCATATATATATATGCATTATGATCCAATGCTTGGCCTAATGATTTAATAATGGTGGCAGACAATTACTAAGTCATTGGAATAATCATTTCACTGAACCTGCATTACGTTTCTGTGTTTAGGGCGAACTAATTTAACCTCTGGGTAAACACGCCTCAGCAGACTACGTCTGAATAAATGACAGCTCTAATTATTGCTAAACATGTGCTTGTCGCGTATAGCGTATAGTTAATTTGTTTGCAGTGGTGAGTAAGGCTTTTTCTCAGTGGGAAGACATGATTTACGTGGAGTTTTCCGCCCGAATTAGTGGCCAGAGGGTGAAAGAAGACACCGACCGAGCGAACACTTGACTTAAACACGTCTCCCAGACCTCTGCCTGCCTGAGTAACTTCCCTACTTTGAAATGTACAAACAAGTCCTAATGAAATGTCTACCGGTCTGATACTACACATGCAGGACGCCACACCAATATAAACCGCAAAACAACTTTTCAACGTGTTCTGAGGTGTTTTCTTCTCTCCAGTATCTGGAGGGTTAAAACTGGTTGTTTTTTTCTCTGATCCTAATGTCAAAGTGAAATTTCATGCTATAATGAGTGTCATTAAAACATAAAAGTGGCATAAATGCAACTTTTATAACCTTGTAATTTACCTGACGACAAGCCTTTCATTTTCTGCCTTTCAACTTTTACGCGCGGCCTGCACAATTATCACAAACACAAGAGCAACAATGGGACGTGAGTTTACTGAAGCCAAAACTAAGAAAAACTGCCTGTTTGTAATATAATTTCCCACCAATAGATACATAAGCGTGGAGAGAACCGGAGCGATTAGTCAAGAACTGAAAACACAATAATATTTGGCCAGTGCGCTAAAATGCCAGATGTAGGTCAACAAATCATATTCACCGTAGAAACACTGCTGTTTGTGCCTGTTTTAAATACAATTCCTGTCTTCTTTTGCTTGCTCTCATAATCTTAGAAATAGTACAAGTAAAAGTATTTTAAGTGTCTCTGACTCCTACCTTTCCTTTGCCTCCGCTGCTCGGTCTCGCTGCCGTCGGTTTTTGAACCAGTTGCTGACCTGCGTCGTGGTGAGTCCCGTGGCCTCGGCCAGCTCTCTCTTCTCCCGCGGGGATGGGTAAGGGTTGTGGGTGTACCACTCCCGGAGGACGCTCCTGCTCTTCTCCTTGAAGCAGTAGCTCGTCTCTTCTCCGTCCCAGATGGAGCGAGGCAGGGGGAACTTTCTCCGGACACGGTACTTCCCCACGGCGCCGAGCGGACGGCCTCTCAACTTCTCCGCCTCGATGTAGTGCGCTTTGAGCCACAGCTGCTGCAGCTTCATGTGGTTGTGCGGCGAGAACTGGTGGCTCTCCAGGATCTTGTAGAGCTCTCGGAAGTTTCCCCGGTGGAACGCTACCACGGCTTTCGCTTTGAGGACGCTCTCATTTTTGTGGAGGTGTTCGCACGCCGGGAGGGACCAGAGGAAGCGCCCCAGCCGCTCGATGTTCCCCCCTTGCTGGAGAACTTCGCAAACACACGCAACTTGCTCCTGCGTAAAACCAAACGTCGGAAGCATGGACATGGCGACAACGTAAATCAATAGAGATTATATTGTGCCCTACTTCCACGTCTCCCCTCTCAGTCTCACATTAAATCAAAACGCGTTAAGTCCACAAGCGACAAAAGGTCCCCAAAAAGAGCAAACAGCCCCAGGTTAGGTATAATATCCAACTGCGTATTGTGGAGTAAACTCAAGTCCATTCAGCCATGCAAAACCCCAGGCGACAAATCCTCATGTAGTTGGTGAGAAACAGAGAAAGTTGCTTCTCCTTCAGCCGTCCTCCTCCACCTTTTCTATGCCGTTTCAACATAACCTACTCCCGGAGACCGGGCTCGCTGGCTCGTTTTAATAATATTATTCTAAGCTGGCAAGACAAGCGATTATATGAACTCTGATTGGTCGGTTATCTGACCCGGGGATGGTGAGGATAAGACAATGGCCTTAGTCAAATTATTTGCCATGGTTACGCTGTCACTCAAAGTAACCTGATATGCTTTGAGGTGGCTCCCTGGCAAAGTCGACCCGATTGTTCCCGTCACGACCAGCCCGCCTACCAATAGAAATGTTGCTCGGATTTTTCTTCTTAAACACTTTTTATTCTCTTTACCTTCACTTTGACGGACACCTTGGGCAGCCAAAGAGCGCAGAGCTGGGGGGTGTGCGTTTGTGGAGAGGTGGAGCAGCGCTGGTCCCGCAGCTGAGGGAAGGATGGCGCCAGAGCGCACAGAGCCTGCTGCAGGACGTCTCCACGCCTCCAGCGGTTCCCACAAATCCGTCACGACTTCCACAACAACTTTAAAGTTAGTCACTTCATCATTTCCATCAAGTGAAATGTCTGTCAACTGCCACGAGTCGACTGATGTAGCGGTTAATGAAACGCTCGCAAAAAATGCCTGACCTATAGCAAGAACAATAAATAAACAAAAATAAATTAGACTAATTCTGTCAGAGAGGGCTGCGATTTATGTTTTTTCACCTCCAATCAATTGAAATAAAGGTATAAGTTCAGTTGAAGTTTTAAACATTGTAACAATAACACAGTTAAAAGGAATTTTGGTAAAGGTTTACAGGTGATTGGAAATAGCAGGCCAGTTAATCAACCACTCCAACTGTAACCAGGACGTGCGAGATATGTTACCAATAATGATATAAAACAACAGAAAGTCAATCAGAAAGCAGTTTATTAAAAATGTGTAATAATTCTAAAGACTGCACTTTAATAGAGACCATATTTTACTTTATATTAACTTAATAGCTAATTTAATGATTTTTAAAAATCAAATCTGATATAAATATGACATTTATATATCTGTGATCCCCAAATGAATATTATATTTCAGTATGAACTAGACATTTCATTTTATAATATTGCCGAGATAAGGCTTATTATAAGTATCTGAATGAGGGCTGAGGAGGAGAAGGGCGCACAGAATGGCAAACAATGTTAAGGTGGGCAGCCGGTGTAATTGTGACACGAGGTGTTCGTGTGTGCTGCGGAGAGTTTGTTGAACGGGGAGCAGAGAGGGAGAGTCTCTCGGCCAACAGCGGAGAAGAAAAACGACCAGCAGCAGCAGCACCGGTGAGCCAAAACTTTTCCGTTTGTATTTAAGTCATCTGGCTGAAATCACAGGCAGGATTAGAAGATAAGAACCGAGTAATCAGTTCAGTATGATGAGGAAGATAACATGATGCAGGAAAAAAAGCAAAGTGAGAGCAAAGGAAACAGTGAGAGCATTCATTTTAGAGGTAAAATGATTAGAGATTTATAGGAGAAAATTATACTTGTTGATACAAACATTTTCAGAGAAAGTGGCAGCAGCACGATGAAAAACACTGTCACAACGTTTGGCGTGGTGTTGTCAGGTATATGGTAACTTGTGTCACGTGGATGGACATGCGTGTTATTGACCGTTGGGCCAAAGATTGACCAGTTAGATTTCTATCGCCTCACCATGGGACCTCTTCATTAGAGATACGATTGTCAGTTACACTCACACTCAGTATCGCATCACTCGACACTGCTGCCTCAAATCTCACACACATACACACACACACACACACACACACACACACACACACACACACACACTCGCACACACACACACGCGCGCACACACTCCTGTCTCCTCCGACAGACCTGTTTCAGCTCCAACAGACTCCTCTCCAGAGAGAGGATTAGCTGCTGACGCTTGTTGATTGCAGTGTGAAATTATATTTGAAATTATTAATAATAATATCGATGGCATTACTATAATACATTTCATATAATTCCATAATTTCATTGTTATAGTAGCTATTATTGTTTAATATGTAATAGGCATAATGTCCTGTGCAGACTACAATTTCATATTTTCTAAAAAAATAAGTTGCAAATAAATATCAGCTGCACATTTAAGGAGCAATGCGCTCCATAAAATCTCAGGGGTATAAAAAACTAATTGAATCATCGGCTGATTCACTTTTGCTTCAGATCGGGGTACATTTCTTCCCTCTGTTCAGGCCTTTTTTTAAATGCGATGACCAAATTCATCTACGTCGTGGCTGTTTAAACAGAATTATTAGTGCAATTATAAAGTTAGTTTATCAGCAGAGACGAGGAGTCCTGTAAGAGGAGCCTGATCCCTGTTTCCGTGTTGTGTTCCCCCTTTTGTTGAATACATTGACTGGGGTTTCGCCTGAAGCGCAGTTCGGAGAGTATTACGGTATTAAGCTGACTGATGGTAATCGTCTTGGGACCGGGGACTCGCCTGAAATGGATAGTGAGGAAAACAAGGAAGCGATTTATAGGCTACACACAGTTTACAGTTTAAACAAGAACATCCTAGAATGGATGAGTTTTATTCTCTCATAAAATAAAAAAGGAGATAATAATAAAAATATGACGAAGCCATGCATCATGATAATACTGAATGGAGTTTGATTTGTTGACTTCGATTCAGGCAGCTCGTAATAATAAGAGAAAGCTCGAGCGAGAACGTTGAGTGAAAATATGACCACCCGCAACAGTTTGGCAGACGAGATATTTAAAACCTATTTCAGATAAACATATCATCTCCATCGATGTAGCGCGCGCACACATACTCAACTAAACGCCTAGTAAGTGAGCCTAAAACACACGTGGGGCTCTCCCACTTTTGAAAAAGATGCTGCCATTACGCTCACAGTGGTGATACTATTTTCCACTGAGGTTATGTAAATGTCACAAAATGTCTAAAAAAAAACGTTGTAATGCATTATAATTTACCTGAATTTACAGACTGAAAACAATCTTACAAGGCTGTTACTGACAAATAACATGCAGGTGTTGCTTTATCTAATTGTTTTTTTCTTCACTTCAGCTTTAACTGTTGCCCTGTGCCCCTGCTGTCAGCAGTGGTTGCATGAAGGCCTATGAGTTTATAGTCCATCCCTAACCGACTCTATCCTTAGTCACTTGGATTATTTTGGGGAATGACAAGCACAGATGTAACCAAAATAGGGTTTGGAGCCTTATAGCTCCAGATGGGTTTCAGCGTCTCATTAGATGTTATTCTGATGGGATGATACACTGTTGGAGCATGAATGTTTGTATATCAAGCTGCTATCATCTCACTTTGCTGCATGACAGATACAGTTTTATACTCAGAGCCAACAATAAAATCAGCATGGATAGAGTTATGGGATAAAATCTTATTCAATCTTTGATGTGAAAAAGTTTGAGATAACCCCTCCCTGAAGAAACTGTCCCACTCATCCTGTTGACACGTCTCAATCGACACCCGCTCACTCAGTCTGTGTTGCCCAAAGATAAGCTCTACTTATTCAACTATAAAGTATCCCATTAGAAAGCAACAAGCCACTTCCAAAGAGAGGATGTGTCAGAGAAAACACAAGATAGTGCAAGCAATTCAAATGTGAAAACAGATACGAAGCATCTTCATTTTTTGGCCTACTCGTGGTAACAAGAACTCCTGGGTGTGTGCACCGGCAGTGACGGGGCAAATCGGGGTCCCATGAGTGGCCTGTGACAGTGTTTGTAAACCACTTGTTTCCACGGATCAGTTTGATCAGAGGGCTCTGGCTCTGAAACGGTAATTATTACGGCCGCTGATGAATGGAGATCGCCTTTCCCCTAATAGCCAAACCCCTATTTTCACAACCTCCCACCGCTCACCTCGGCCGCTGTCCACCACGACCTGCACTAATTGAGCTGATTATTGCAAGATGTGTGTTTTGGTGTGTGTTGCAAAGCTTATGTGTCAGAGTGGGGGCTTTTATTCTGTAAGGCTGACCTGAGACAAGCACAACAAGGGGTTGATGAGTAACATTCTTTCGGACAGACATCCAAATGTTGGGCAGAGAGAGAGAGAAATTATTAAAGCCAGAACCTCTGTGTCTCTACCGGTTAAAAGGATATGAATGAGGGTCTATCCAATAATTGGTTGTTTACATCTATCTTGTTACCCCAGAGGCCGGGGCTAGAGCAAGGAGGAGATTTCAATAAACCGCAGAGGCAAGCAGCAGGGAGGGCTGTGTGTGTGTGTGGTGTGTGTATGTGTTGTCTTCATTTCCAGAAGGCTCTGACCGGTCGGCAGGTTCATCAGATAGGACGGTTTACATTTCAAGCCCACTCTAGAATATATAGGCCTGCACAAAACGCAACAATTTCACAGGCAGTTAAAAGGTGAGTGAAGCATCACCTTCACTTGATGAGCATAACAGGGTAGAAAAGGCAATAAAAAGGCAATCATTTCTATCTTTTTCTTCCTGACACAGCTTTCCCACATACAGCCTACTTATAAATTTAGCAAAAAATAGGTCATGTAAATGTTCTACCAACACAGTTTGAATATAACTTAAATTCTATTTAATGTGTATCAGATTTGTCATATTTTTTATCATCAATAACTTTAAATGGCAAGCGAAACATCCATATTTTAGTCTTCTTCAGGATGAAAACACTTCTGAGAGTCTGACTACAACTAAAAAAACATATGTAAATACTTATAATGTAACGGAACTTAATATATATCTATACTATATTTAGTATAGAATAGTACAGCAGTCTTTGTGCTGTGTCACCAAACAAGACAAACTTGTATTATTGTATTATTCACAAAATCTGTCATATACCTGTTGAAATACCAGGACAATAACTGAAGATAAATAAACGGCTACATTGGACAAAATATAAACTTATAATCAACCTAAAACTTAGCATGGCTAAAACCACTTGCATTTAACTTTCACATAATTGCAATCTGAACATTTTGTTGAGTGAAGAGGACAAAATTGAAAGCCTTGCAATTAAGCACAGCCTGTGCCCTCATA